CAGCCTCCACGTGAATAGCCAAGAGTTGCCTTTGTTTTTCATTTATTTATATATTTATATACCAGACTTAAGCAACCTGTACAAGTTCAGACAAGTGCACGCGTCAGACGTCAATTTCCTCGGATTCAAAAGCGGAAACTGTGTCTAACGTCTCCTTTCATCTACATTACATAAGAATTTTAAAACATATCTTTTCTTCTTTCAGCTTATAGATTTACAAGCTCCTATCAATAAGTCCTTCGGCTTGACACGAAATTATTAACTGAATTTTGATCTGACATTTTCATTGCATAACGCTTGATGCATATGATTTAAACCCAAACCAATGTAGCTGCTTTTTGAACATAATGTCTTGGACGTCTGAAAATAAAGACACATTCTGTAAAAACTTGCCTACACCTCGACGCCAGGGAATAGATTAATAAACAAACAAACTTTGATTTAAATTTCTAATTTCTAAAGAGTGCCAACAATTTAACCCCTTCCACGTCAATTATTTTGAGAAAAACTTTTCAGACGAAATTTTTTATTTGTTTTTAATATAGTCACTAAGAAACTGAGGTACCTCTAGTTGTGGCTAACACATCAACCAGAGGTACACCACTGTGTAAATTAATTGAAACAACCGCTTTAGTTTCCTTTCTTTCAACATACGGTCAGTTTTAGACACACTGGAATGACAGAGTGTAATCAATTTCTATTTTTCCCTCAGATTACGTCATTTGCAATGGTGTACAGTAATATGAATCTATTTTAGGGGTGTATGATGAAATTTGTTTGGCCTTGAAAAATATTGCCTCATGCGAGATTGAATCAGGTTTTTATCACGCCCAGACAATATTGTCTCGAGTGTCGATTAGTTGTCCTACAGCCATTGTCAGCGATGGATGTTACTCCAAGGAAGCGTACGAATATTGCAACGACGCTCGAACACACTGGCAAGCTTTAGCATTAAGCAAATCAAAGTACGATAGACTGGCCTGGAAATTCTCCTGATTTAAATCCAATCGAGAATCTGTGGTCAATCTACGAGGAACGACTTCGTGGAATGGAAAAGTGGAGTACTAACATGTAAACTGGGTTTATGTTTCATTGGAAAAATACGAAAAGCGAAAATTGAGTGAGAACAATAGAAGAGTAACCAGGAAGACAGTAGATAACGATTGACATTGCATTTAAATTTCTGAAGATCAAAGTTGACAGGAAAGCAAGAAGCCGGAAGAGAGTTCCACAAGTGAAAATTGAGTGAGAACAATAGAAGAGTAACCAGGAAGACAGTAGATAACGATTGACATTGCATTTAAATTTCTGAAGATCAAAGTTGACAGGAAAGCAAGAAGCCGGAAGAGAGTTCCACAAGTGAAAATTGAGTGAGAACAATAGAAGAGTAATCAGGAAAACAGTAGATAACGATTGACATTGCATTTAAATTTTTGAAGATCAAAGTTGACAGGAAAGCAAGAAGCCGGAAGAGAGTTCCACAAGTGAAAATTGAGTGAGAACAATAGAAGAGTAATCAGGAAGACAGTAGATAACGATTGACGTTGGATTTAGATTTTTGAGGTGCAAAATTGACTGGAAAGCAAGAAGCTATAAGAGTGTTCCAGAAGCAGGACGTACCATAGAAGAAACTGTTATCATAGAACTTGCTGTTATGTTATATCTAGCTATTCCATCTCTAAAATGGTGAGACCTTGCCGCCAATCTAGTACTGCACTTAAATTCATAAATCTAGCTACCATAGGGTAGCTAGATTTATGAATTTAAGTGCACCAGATCACCAGATCAATTACCATGAAAGTATTTATAGAAAAGGCACAGGGAAGCTACATCCCGGCAATGTTGAGTAATCCGTTAGACAGTAGGTTGCGATTGAGGTTGAATATAAATTTTCGGAGGATAGCATGGAGCCGGAAGTGAGTTCCACAAGCGAGATGTCCAAGAAAAGAAACTGTTAGCATCGAATATACGGCTACATGTAGCCAGCTTAACTGTAAGTTGATGAGATCTCAACTCTAGTCTAGTAATTTCAAAAACTCTAGGTACCATAGCAAAGAGCTCACCTGAACAATTACCATGAAAGGATTTGTAAAAACGACATAAAGAGGCAATCTGACGGCGGTGAGAAATAACTGAAGCCGAGCTGTCAGCTGAGGACCAATAATATTGCTGATTCTTCTTTGGATTTTATCAAGGAGCTCAAGTTGAACATCAGGGCCACCGGACCATATGTGGCAATAATATTCTAAGTGTTGTGGTAGGATCCACCTAATTTGCATAGTGGAGTACCGACCATATAAATATGGTTGGTACCGGGAAGACGAGGGGAAGGAATCAAGAGATTCAATCCAGAGACTCTGCCCGACTGCGACTAAGTCAACACATTCTCCAGGAACGGTCTTCCCAAGAATATACAAAAGACTATATGTAAATATTGTGTACACTTTCTTGTTTCAATACATTTTGTTCTAAGTACATTTTGTGTTGTATTATTATTCCATGCATTAGTCAAGTTTCACCACTAAGCATGGACGAATCGTGTACTTACAGATAATCCGTGATATTTTTTCATAATCAAGTGCTTAATTTTTTTTTTTCAGAATAAAAGCAAAGGTACTGAAATTTAATCTTTTACTTTCAAAAATATAAAAATATATCATTTTAATGTTTTTAAAAAAAATTGCAAGGTGGACCCAAATTTTCTTGCCTGTAGCGTACATTAAAAAATAGATAAATATCAGTTTGCGATGTGTTTAGCATACCATTGCTATATTAGAATGACTTCTTCAATCATTGCACCAAAATTCTAACCCTGTGTTTAGCGTCGTAAATATCTTCAAATCCTGCTGCATATACATTTTTTTTTCGGGGTGGGGAAGCAAAGTTGGCTGTCTTCCAGTTGAGGAATTCATTTCTCTCGGCGACCACTATTTATGGCCAGCATTTTACGACGATAGAGTCAAGCAATTGCTTTCCGCCCTCCGTGTTTTGCATTGGATATAAAATGGAAGAAGACCCGTATGGCTGTGATTGGACAGAAAAACTGCTTACGGAATCGCGGTGAAGAATAAAATTGGCTTTATATATTTCGGCTTGAGTACTTGCGAAATGTGCATGAAAGAAATATATATAAAGATATATTTACACATCAGAATTATACCGCGCACGCGCACACACACGCGCACACACACACACACACACATATATATATATATATAAAAGTTCTGCATATCCGAGTGCTTTCTTTTAGACATTATTCATATTTTTTAAGTTTTTAACTAAATATGATTTTTATGTATGTATCTGAATTTATATATATATATATATATATAGTAGGATTGACGTGAGTTAGTCATCCTGGGTTTCACGCTTTTGCGATCGTCACATCAAACTCACACCAATCCAACTAAATATGTTAGCTCTATCACTGATATTGAGCGCTTTCCAATAGGTACCGCGCATATATAAGATGTAAATAATATATATAAATAAATTGCATATATATATATATATATATATATATATATATATATATATATATATATATAGCTGGAGGGAGAGGAAGAAAATTCATACCTTTCCCAAGGTTATTAGCACGTAAGTGAATGTAATGGATTCGACTGGAATTCGAACTCTGCTCTCCGATTCCTCAATCCAAGCCGCTATCCATTACGCCACCGTGGGAAAGGTATGAATCCTCTTTTTCTCCCTCCAGCTATGGGTAAAATAGCAGGACAGACTGGGTTCTATAGCCTTGGATGGCAACTGGTCTAGGAGAAAGACAACTCTGAATGCAAAACATGCGGAGGGTCGTTTGGGACCCTTGTGGCATTCGGTGCACCATGTCTCTGTATTCGTCCCTTCAAAAAGTGTGGCTGGTCCTGCAGGAAACCTTCACCACTAGAATCAACACTCATGTGCCGGTGTCGGATTGTTGGTTTTCTGGAAACTGATCTGCTTGACCCTCATACGTCGAGTCGATTATTATATATATATATATATATGAAATTTATTATATATATATATTATATATGAATAAAATATATATAATAAATTGCATATATATATATATATATATATATATATATATATATATATATATATATATATATATTTATTATATATATTTATTATATTATTTATATATTATATATATATATATATATATATATATATATATATATATATATATATATATAATAAACACAATCTTATGCTCATTTTTGGAGTGGGACGTACATTTTGTGGGATACGATCATTATAAGCACGCATTTACCTTCATCTTCCTTAATTTTGCCTCTTGATACATTTCACTCGGTGCACCTCCCGCAATAAATTTATCTCCTAACCAAATGAACGTGATATTGTCGCGTGGCGTGACATTCACTATCAAACTATTAAGACTTTGAAAACCCGTAACGACATTTATATCATCAAGCCAGATAAGCGTGCTGGTGTGGTCAAATTGAATAAGGTTGACTATGTTGATAAGATGAATGTCATTCTAGGAGATACTACAAAGTTAATCAGTCCGTCTTCATCTTATGAGCATTTACTAAGGACCGTCTGTCCTATCTTAGTAAGAGTTCAGTTATCTATAAGTTTAAATGTCAGTGTGAAGCTGAGTATATAGGAAGAACTAGTGTGTGATTGGAAACAAGAATGGACCAACACGTTACTAAATATATCAGATTGCAATCATACTCATGGGTCGTAATCAAACAACACCTATTGGAGAATGAGATGTGCTCGTCGTATTTCACGACAAACTCATTCTTTGTACTACATAGAGGCTGGTCCAAACACCATTTGCCGTAAATTGCAGCAACCATCTCTCTGCAGACAAGAGGATAAATTTTTTGCGAGTTCTTTAAACTTATTTGGAGGTTAGTGACCGATTCTGTAGTTGGTTCATTTACTTATTCTCTTAGGTTTACGTATTTATTTTAATCGTGAATCTGTTTTAGACTTGTTCCAGGCTTATCTCCAAGAAGTTTCCCTCATATTTGCAGTCTAACTGCTTCAGTTGTGCCATCGATCGGTCCCTGAAGAAGCGTTGGTCGAAAGGTTGCCTAGGACCCCACCAAAAAATGAACATAAAAGTGTGTTTATTCAAATCTATCTATTTATTCTGCAGTATCAAAGCATTATATATATATATATATATATGTGTGTGTGTGTGTGTGTGTGTGTGTGTGTGTGTGTGTGTGTGTGTAAATTATGAGGTGTAACTGTAAAGAGAAAAGCTGTTCCTAGTCGACGCGTTTCTTTCTCTGAGGGAATTTATAAATATATATATATATATATATATATATATATATATATATATATATTGGTGAAACCGTTCGGTCTGAGGAAACGAAACCGAAATATCGGTTTCATGAAAATTAAATATTACCATGAATTTCTAAAGTCTCCACTTAATTAATTATCATTTGCTCTGTTCTCACATTGACCTCTCTCTGAATCTATATCCTTTTGGAATTATCGATACGGATTACCAAATAATATATATATATATATATATATATATATATATATATATATATATATATATGTGTATAGGTACAAATAAGTTTACGAATTCCTCGTAGTAAGACAGTATATGTATGGAGGGAAATATACGCACGCATATATACACGCATGCTGACAGAAACGCACCAAAATGGAAACAGATCCAAGAGCACATAGGGGCCAGCAAAACATTAAAAGATAAAATGCCGATAACTAATTCATCATTTCGCTGGACCAGCCTTAATTGTTTTATGACCCTTCGCGCAGAACTCTTCATTGCCAATTCAAGAAAGAAATTCGGATTACTAACATAAAAACAGAAAATGTCTCATATCGAGAATATTTAACATTGAACATGAGGAAAAATGAATTATTTTTAATAATATGTGGAAATCTCCACTTTTACCTGAAGACGGTCGCGAGACCAGAAACACGTGTCGTAAAATTATGTAAAACAAAGTATATTTTTTTCTAAATAAATTCACATTACAACCAAAAACGTTTGCGGCACCTCTCTTTTCTTCTTTTTAATATACATACTTTTCTCTCGTTGGAACCACTACACTATATTTCTTTTATATATATATATATATATATATATATATATATATATATATATATGGTGATGCTACATTTAAATGATAACTCTAACATTTTTAGGCATTTAAAACACATGACTGGCCGCATACACAATTCCGGAAAATCCTTGTTGAAAACACAACTATACTTAAACATGAAAACAATAAAGAAAAACTACAAATTCTTGAAGCTATATTCATAAAACAGTTGAAACCTAACTTGAACAAAATAAACTATAAAATCTCCACAAATATTCTTAAATGCCTATAATTGGTAACAAAAGCCATTGGTTTATACAAACGGCTTCCCGTACTTAATACTTCTCGTTTTCACTCTCGCGTGTTCATGTGTGACGTCACGAGCTGCGCTGTGATTTTCGCTTCCAGCGTCTTATATGCACGAGTTTGTCGTTGCTTGGAAATCTTCCATGTAAACAGAAACAGACTATCATCACTGATTTGTCCGTGTATTGTTTAATATATTGTAATGTAATTGTCATCTTT